GAGACTCTGATGCCTGAGACTCTGATGCCTGAGGGTCTGATGCCTGAGACTCTGATGCCTGAGACTCTGATGCCTGAGACTCTGATGCCTGAGGGTCTGATGCCTGAGACTCTGATGCCTGAGACTCTGATGCCTGAGGGTCTGATGCCTGAGACTCTGATGCCTGAGACTCTGATGCCTGAGACTCTGATGCCTGAGGGTCTGATGCCTGAGACTCTGATGCCTGAGACTCTGATGCCTGAGGGTCTGATGCCTGAGACTCTGATGCCTGAGACTCTGATGCCTGAGACTCTGATGCCTGAGACTCTGATGCCTGAGACTCTGATGCCTGAGGGTCTGATGCCTGAGACTCTGATGCCTGAGACTCTGATGCCTGAGGGTCTGATGCCTGAGACTCTGATGCCTGAGACTCTGATGCCTGAGACTCTGATGCCTGAGACTCTGATGCCTGAGGGTCTGATGCCTGAGGGTCTGATGCCTGAGGGTCTGATGCCTGAGACTCTGATGCCTGAGACTCTGATGCCTGAGACTCTGATGCCTGAGACTCTGATGCCTGAGGGTCTGATGCCTGAGGGTCTGATGCCTGAGGGTCTGATGCCTGAGGGTCTGATGCCTGAGGGTCTGATGCCTGAAACTCTGGCGCCTAAGGCTCTGATGCCTGAAACTGGCGCCAATTTCTTATCAAAACAAACAGGTAAATATCGGCAGGCGACATTGAGCGGGGCGGAAACCGACAGCGCCGCCACTCGGCGGGGCGGCAAATTACGCCTCACTCGCGCGCCAGCCTCCGTGCGGGTCGGACGGTGCTCTACCGCCGCTCCCGCAGTCATGTCGGACTTACGCCACCCGCGAAGACAGGCCGCGGCTTCGGCTGGCTATCTCGCCGCGAGTTAACTAATAGTGAATACCAGTGGGGGCCGTCATGGCTAGTTACTCCAGTTACATGTATAACTGTTTAACTACCGACAGCTATGAACACATTCCAAGGTAATTGGTTATTTCTGAACACTTGGACTAGAAAGTGTGGTATAATCTCGTATATTTAGCTGGGTTATATGATGTAATATGTTCGTATATCCAGTTAGCGATGATAATTGTCTTGAAGAAGGTGTATGAGGTTTGTGGAAAGCCCAAACGCTTTCGTGAGTCGGTTTCTTAACTACCAGAATTATTACTGTAACTAGAATATATTATTAAGTTCTTGTGGTGGAAATAATGTGTCGTATTGGGGAATGTTGTGTGTAAATACATGACTGCGAAATACATTCGCTGTGGAATGTATATTGCACGATAATGTATACTGTAATTTGCACGCCATTGACGCTGCAGTATTCATGCTGTTGTCTGCTAATTATACATACCATTGCCGATGTTTTTATACATATCATTGATTTTCATATAGCCGTGTCAGGGGTATGTATACTGCAGTGACAGTCCTATGTATACTGCAATGACAATCCTATGTATACTGGAGTGACAGTCCTATGTATACTACAGTGACAATCCTATGTATACTGCAGTGACAGTCCTATGTATACCGCAGTGACAGTCCTATGTATACCGCAGTGGCAGTCCTATGTATACTGGAGTGACAGTCCTATGTATACTACAGTGACAATCCTATGTATACTGCAGTGACAGTCCTATGTATACCGCAGTGACAGTCCTATGTATACCGCAGTGGCAGTCCTATGTATACTGTAGTGACAGTCCTATGTATACCGCAGTGACAGTCCTATGTATACTGCAGTGATAATCCTATGTATACTGCAATGACAGTCCTATGTATACCGCAGTTACAGTCCTATGTATAATGTAGTGATAGTCCTATGTATACTGCAGTGACAGTCCTATGTATACCGCAGTGACAGTACTATGTATACTGCAGTGACAGTCCTATGTATACTACAGTGACAGTCCTATGTATACCGCAGTGACAATCCTATGTATACTGCAGTGACAGTCCTATGTATACTGCAGTGACAGTCCTATGTATACTGCAGTGGCAGTCCTATGTATACTGCAGTGACAGTCCTATGTATACTGCAGTGGCAGTCCTATGTATACTGCAGTGACAGTCCTATGTATACTGCAGTGACAGTCCTATGTATACTGCAGTGACAGTCCTATGTATACTGCAGTGGCAGTCCTATGTATACTGCAGTGACAGTCCTATGTATACTGCAATGACAATCCTATGTATACTAGAGTGCCAATTGTATGTGTATCGCAGTGACAATGACATGTATACCAATGTGACAATGGTTTATATATCAGTGGCAATAGTTCGTATACTGCAGTATGTATACTGCAGTATGTATACTGCAGTAATATTGGTATGTATTTTTGTTGTGGCAATGTTGCTGTAGTATACATACCATTGTCACTAGTATACATACCATTGTCACTCTAGTATACATACCATTGTCACTCTAGTATACATACCATTGTCACTCTAGTATACATACCATTGTCACTCTAGTATACATACCATTGTCACTCTAGTATACATACCATTGTCACTCTAGTATACATACCATTTTCACTCTAGTATACATACCATTTTCACTCTAGTATACATACCATTTTCACTGTATTATGCATACCATTTTAGTTGTAGTATACATAATATTGTAAATTTTGACATAATGGGGGATTTTCCGGATACATGTAGCCACGTATTAATACATGTAGCCATGTATTAATACATGTAGCCACGTATTAATACATGTAGCCATGTATTAATACATGTAGCCACGTATTAATACATGTAGCCACGTATTAATACATGTAGCCACGTATTAATACATGTAGCCACGTATTAATACATGTAGCCATGTATTAATACATGTAGCCACGTATTAATACATGTAGCCACGTATTAATACATGTAGCCATGTATTAATACATGTAGCCACGTATTAATACATGTAGCCACGTATTAATACATGTAGCCACGTATTAATACATGTAGCCATGTATTAATACATGTAGCCACGTATTAATACATGTAGCCACGTATTAATACATGTAGCCACGTATATAATACATGTAGCCATGTATTAACATGTAGCCACGTATTAATACATGTAGCCACATGTAGCCACGTATTAATACATGTAGCCACGTATTAATACATGTAGCCACGTATTAATACATGTAGCCACGTATTAATACATGTAGCCATGTATTAATACATGTAGCCACGTATTAATACATGTAGCCATGTATTAATACATGTAGCCACGTATTAATACATGTAGCCACGTATTAATACATGTAGCCACGTATTAATACATGTAGCCATGTATTAATACATGTAGCCACGTATTAATACATGTAGCCACGTATTAATACATGTAGCCATGTATTAATACATGTAGCCACGTATTAATACATGTAGCCACGTATTAATACATGTAGCCACGTATTAATACATGTAGCCATGTATTAATACATGTAGCCACGTATTAATACATGTAGCCACGTATTAATACATGTAGCCACGTATTAATACATGTAGCCATGTATTAATACATGTAGCCACGTATTAATACATGTAGCCACGTATTAATACATGTAGCCATGTATTAATACATGTAGCCACGTATTAATACATGTAGCCATGTATTAATACATGTAGCCACGTATTAATACATGTAGCCATGTATTAATACATGTTGCCACGTATTAATACATGTAGCCACGTATTAATACATGTAGCCATGTATTAATACATGTAGCCACGTATTAATACATGTAGCCATGTATTAATACATGTAGCCACGTATTAATACATGTAGCCACGTATTAATACATGTAGCCATGTATTAATACATGTAGCCACGTATTAATACATGTAGCCACGTATTAATACATGTAGCCACGTATTAATACATGTAGCCACGTATTAATACATGTAGCCACGTATTAATACATGTAGCCACGTATTAATACATGTAGCCATGTATTAATACATGTAGCCACGTATTAATACATGTAGCCACGTATTAATACATGTAGCCATGTATTAATACATGTAGCCACGTATTAATACATGTAGCCATGTATTAATACATGTAGCCACGTATTAATACATGTAGCCACGTATTAATACATGTAGCCACGTATTAATACATGTAGCCACGTATTAATACATGTAGCCACGTATTAATACATGTAGCCATGTATTAATACATGTAGCCACGTATTAATACATGTAGCCATGTATTAATACATGTAGCCATGTATTAATACATGTAGCCACGTATTAATACATGTAGCCACGTATTAATACATGTAGCCATGTATTAATACATGTAGCCACGTATTAATACATGTAGCCACGTATTAATACATGTAGCCATGTATTAATACATGTAGCCACGTATTAATACATGTAGCCACGTATTAATACATGTAGCCACGTATTAATACATGTAGCCATGTATTAATACATGTAGCCACGTATTAATACATGTAGCCATGTATTAATACATGTAGCCACGTATTAATACATGTAGCCACGTATTAATACATGTAGCCATGTATTAATACATGTAGCCACGTATTAATACATGTAGCCATGTATTAATACATGTAGCCACGTATTAATACATGTAGCCATGTATTAATACATGTAGCCACGTATTAATACATGTAGCCACGTATTAATACATGTAGCCACGTATTAATACATGTAGCCATGTATTAATACATGTAGCCACGTATTAATACATGTAGCCATGTTTTAATACATGTAGCCACGTATTAATACATGTAGCCATGTATTAATACATGTAGCCACGTATTAATACATGTAGCCATGTTTTAATACATGTAGCCACGTATTAATACATGTAGCCATGTTTTAATACATGTAGCCACGTATTAATACATGTAGCCATGTATTAATACATGTAGCCACGTATTAATACATGTAGCCATGTATTAATACATGTAGCCACGTATTAATACATGTACATGTAGCCACGTATTAATACATGTAGCCATGTATTAATACATGTAGCCACGTATTAATACATGTAGCCATGTTTTAATACATGTAGCCACGTATTAATACATGTAGCCATGTATTAATACATGTAGCCACGTATTAATACATGTAGCCATGTTTTAATACATGTAGCCACGTATTAATACATGTAGCCATGTTTTAATACATGTAGCCACGTATTAATACATGTAGCCATGTAGCCATGTTTAATACATGTAGCCACGTATTAATACATGTAGCCATGTAGCCATGTATTAATACATGTAGCCACGTATTAATACATGTAGCCATGTTTTAATACATGTAGCCACGTATTAATACATGTAGCCATGTATTAATACATATAGCCATGTATTAATGAGAGCAGTAGCAGCGTGTTAAAATGATTCATTACTGGCGATGGTTGTTAAACATTGTTAGGGGTCGCTAGTTGGGTCATTAGTCCAGAGACAGGTATAAACTAGCTTCAGAACCACGACTCCTCCACCAGCTGCGAAACCTCTACATCTTTGACCAATCATGGTGCCTCTGTTTACATTCCTAAATAGCTTCGTGAGTTGTGAAGCCCTAAACGAGGTTTTTAATAAATGTAAACACAATTGGCATGATCGTTGAAAGATGTACTGGTTTCGTAGGAGGTTGAGTCAATGTTTGGTGGATGGTGGTGAGCGTACTGGTGCTAGCAGGGTTCGATTCCCGGCTCGTGTCTCAATTTTGAGACTCTGGTCAGGCAACCCGTTCTCGCAAATTTAATAAGTCAATATTGACTTATTAAATATGTGCATAGGTGACATACTTAACATAATAGATACCCTTAAAAAGATTCATAGAAAACACCGACCTTACCTAACCTACTTAGTGTGTTAAGATAAGCATCTTATTGCTTCGTAATTACAATTATTACCTAACCTATAATAGGCATAGGTTAAGTAATAATTGTAATTACGAAGCAATAAGATGCTTATCTTAAGATACTAACAAGGTTAGGTAAGGTCGGTGTTTTCTATGAATCTTTTTAAGGGTATCTATTATGTTAAGTATGTCACCTATGTACGTAGTTAATAAGTCAATATTGACTTTACGAATTTGCGAGAACGGGTTGGGTCAGCTGGTGGGAGCTCGAATTGGGTAGTTAGTGTCCGTGGGCCAGATTCACGAAGTAGTTACGCAAGCACGTACGAACCTGGGGCCAGATTCACGAAGTAGTTACGCAAGCACTTACGAACCTGGGGCCAGATTCACGAAGCAGTTACGCAAGCACATACGAACTTGGGGCCAGATTCACGAAGCAGTTACGCAAGCACTTACAACCCTGGGGCCAGATTCACGAAGCAGTTACGCAAGCACTTACGCACCTGGGGCTAGATTCACGAAGCAGTTACGCAAGCACTTACGAACCTGGGGCTAGATTTACGAAGCAGTTACACAAGTACTTACGAACCTGGGGCCAGATTCACGAAGCAGTTTCGCATGTACTTACGAACCTGGGGCCAGATTCACAAAGCAGTTACGCAAGTACTTACGAACCTGGGGCCAGATTCACGAAGCAGTTACTCAAGCACTTACGAACGTGTCCATCTTTCCTCAATCTTTGACGGCTTTGGTTACATTTATTAAACAGTTTACAAGCATGAAAACTTGCCAATCAACTGTTGTTATTGTTATAAACAGCCTCCTGGTGCTTCGGAGCTCATTAACTGTTTAATAATTGTAAACAAAGCCGCCAAAGATTGAGAAAAGATGGACAGGTTCGTAAGTGCTTGCGTAACTACTTCGTGAATCTGGCCCACGTTTGGTCAGAGGGGGTCCTTGTAGACTATGGACTCAGGCTTGTGGGTGTGGTCGCAGTCGGTGATCGGTTAAGAGGTCGGTTAAGAGGTCGGTTAAGAGGTCGGTTAAGAGGTCGGTTAAGTGGTCGGTTAAGAGGACGGTTAAGAGGTCGGTTAAGAGGACGGTTAAGAGGTCGATTAAGGTATCGGTTAAGAGGTCGGGTAAGGGGTCGGGTAAGGTGTCAGGTAAGCCATTAGACCCGCCTCAGGACCGACAGCATAAATGGTCTCTTAACTACTGTCCGTGACTGAACCTGTTGGGCTTACACGCACGAATGTGTACTGATTGTTATCATATGATTGGATAACAAAATTTCAGGGTAGTTCTGTCCCTCCAAAGGATACCTGATCAACCAGGCTGTGACTCATACGTCAGGCTGTGAGCAGCCGCGTCCAACAGCCTGGTTGATCAGTCCAGCAACCAGCAGGCCTGGTTGACGACCGGGCCGCGGGGTCGCTGAGCCCCGGAATCACCTCAAGGTAACCTATAAATTGTCCCAATAGATAAAAATAACAGTTATGGTGGAGTTCCATTTTTTTTATTTAATTTTTATAAGGTTAGCTGAACAAAATTTTAATATATCTTTGAATGGAATTTCTTCTAAGAATGCTGGACCTGGAAAAATAATTTTCTCATTTTCAACTCAGTCATTTTCCCCCTAAGTATCCTACATGTCTCAATCATGTCTCCTCTCTGTACTCTTCTAGCGTCGACAGGTTTAGTTCATTCAGTCTCTCTTCACATCCCTCGTCGCTCTGAATAGACCCTTGTTGGAAACTTACGACCATTTTCGAGTGCCTTGAAAAGTGTGTTTAGACGCGAGTTGAACGAAGCGAGGAACATATATGCAGCCTCTCCTGATATACCTCACCGTATATACCAAGATATACTGATATAACCAAAACACAGGAACCCTAACCTAACCTACCGATCCATAGAAAGGGTATTATCTTGAGGTTATCTTGAGATGATTTCGGGGCTTTAGTATCCCCGTGGCCCGGTCCTCGACCAGGCCTCCACCCCCAGGAAGCAGTCCGTGACAGCTGACTAACACCCAGGTACCTATTTTACTGCTAGGTAACAAGGGCATTCAGGGTGAAAGAATTTTTTTAAGGGTAATATAGTGAAAGTCTTCATTGGGTAACATGAAGGGTTCATATGTGTAGTCATGTGTGTGTGGTCATGTGTGTAGACAGGTGTGTAGTCATGTGTGTAACCAGACGTGAGTGTCAGGTGTGTTAGAGTCCTCTCTGTAAAGGTTAGTGGGTTGTGTACTATATAAAGCCACAAGCACCTGCATTATTAATAAAGGCGGTCTTGCTGGGGTCTAGGAATGGTCTTGTGGGTCTTGTAGGGGTCTTGGGGTGGTCTGTGGGTCTTGTAGGGGTCTAAGGGTGGTCTGTGGGTCTTGTTGGGGTCTAGGGGTGGTCTGTGGGTCTTGTAGGGGTCTTGGGGTGGTCTGTGGGTCTTGTAGGGGTCTAGGGGTGGTCTGTGGGTCTTGTTGGGGTCTTGGGGTGGTCTGTGGGTCTTGTAGGGGTCTTGGGGTGGTCTGTGGGTCTTGTAGGGTTCCTGTGGTGGTCTGTGGGTCTTGCTGGGGTCTAGGGGTGGTCTGTGGGTCTTGTTGGGGTCTAGGGGTGGTCTGTGGGCCTTGTAGGGTTCTTGTGGTGGTCTGTGGGTCTTGCTGGGGTCTAGGGGTGGTCTGTGGGTCTTGTAGGGGTCTAGGGGTGGTCTGTGGGTCTTGTTGGGGTCTTGGGGTGGTCTGTGGGTCTTGTAGGGGTCTTGGGGTGGTCTGTGGGTCTTGTAGGGGTCTAGGAATGGTCTGTGGATCTTGCAGGGGTCTAGGAATGGTCTGTGGATCTTGTTGGGGTCTAGGAATGGTCTGTGGATCTTGCAGGGGTCTAGGAATGGTCTGTGGATCTTGCAGGGGTCTAGGAATGGTCTGTGGGTCTTGCTGGGGTCTAGGAATGGTCTGTGGGTCTTGTTGGGGTCTAGGAATGGTCTGTGGGCCTTGTAGGGGTCTTGGGATGGTCTGTGGGCCTTGTAGGGGTCTTGGAATGGTCTGTGGGCCTTGTAGGGGTCTTGGGATGGTCTGTGGGTCTTGTTGGGGTCTTGGGATGGTCTGTGGGCCTTGTAGGGGTCTTGGGATGGTCTGTGGGCCTTGTTGGGGTCTTGGGATGGTCTGTGGGCCTTGTAGGGGTCTTGGGATGGTCTGTGGGCCTTGTAGGGGTCTTGGGATGGTCTGTGGGCCTTGTTGGGGTCTTGGGATGGTCTGTGGATCTTGCTGGGGTCTAGGAATGGTCTGTGGGTCTTGTTGGGGTCTTGGGATGGTCTGTGGTCTTAACGACCCTGGTGGCCATTAAACCGAGGAATCGTCAATAATTCAATGCTTTTAGTTTCATTTGAGAGCCAGAATTTGTTAACGATGTGATGAATGGTTGACCTCTGAGTGACCCCAATGACCTTGTTAACACCGTGATGGTGGTTTAGTAGTTAGTTGATGACCTGTTAAGCGCCCTGACCTTCGAACGAGCATGGTTCTAAAGCGCCTCGGAGCTCGTAAGTTGTTTTGTCAATATCGACAAAGCTGCGATGATCTTAAGTGCTCTGTGAATCAAGGCGTATTGGCTCATTTAAGACAGCTTCTGTCTTAAATGGGCCAATAGGCCTTCTAGAATAGATGAAATCTACAAGGGCTGTGAGGTGGATTCGAATCTGCGTCCGAGAGCATGGTCTTGAGGTTATCTTGAGATGATTTCGGGGCTTTAGTGTCCCCGCGGCCCGGTCCTCGACCAGGCCTCCACCCTCAGGAAGCAGCCCGTGACAGCTGACTAACACCCAGGTACCTATTTTACTGCTAGGTAACAGGGACATAGGGTGAAAGAAACTCTGCCCATTGTTTCTCGCCGGCGCCTGGGATCGAACCCAGGACCACAGGATCACGAGTCCAGCATGCAGAGACACTGTTAAGCAGTGAATTAGTGTGTTTTAGTCATGATAGAGAAGTTGGTGTGGAGTAAGGAGAAGTGGTTGGGCAGGTTTGGTGGATGTATTGACCTCTTGGTGGTGGTGTAGTGACCTTTGGTCTTCTGGTCTTTGATTAGTTCCTGTCTGTCTCTCTGTCTCTCTCTGTCTCTCTCTGTCTCTCTCTCTCTC